TCTCCTTCTGACTAGTCGTTGAGATTCTTCCAAATTCTCACTAATCACCGGCTGACTGCGAAACGGTAGATTATGGTTACGGCAACTTGCCAAGTATGTAGGATTAGGCGAGTGATTTCTTTCTTATTGCTTACGAAAATCATTTTGTAATCTCTATCTTACTGGTAATCATTGAGAACTGTCGCAGCCGTGGGGTCTTTAGTTCCAAATTTGTTTCTTTGTGGGTAGCTGTTATGCTTTATCTCTATATTTCTGGATAGCGAGACGCTTCATACACCACCAGTGGCTTGTCCCAAGCGGCACCATTATAGCTTATAACGGCAGGCCCATGCTGTAGCTCGTCCAAACAAGTATACCTTACCTAAAATATTGAGATGGGGGACGTCAAACAAGGATCCGGCCAGCAAGCGTGTATCTTGAATAGGGTCCAAGCGGCAGGTTTGGGATCAAATGGACCTACGCATCTAATACTAGTTCGCTATAGGTAGGTACTGTATTCTTTGGTACTTTTGATCAAAGCTTACTTGTAGTCACATCTGGCTGGACAGTTCAGCCCATATTGTCACAAATTAATCAACCAGATAAAGGTTGGTAGCTAAGAGTTCGGCATAAACTCTAGTTATTGTAGAGACGTAGAAGTAATAATCTATAGACATCTGCTTATCTCAAATCAAGTAGTGAAAACATTAAGTGCTGAAAGAACATCTGCTTGAATGTCAGACGAAACAGACTTAGCAGCTTTGAACAACTTCTGGGTCATAATGAAGTGACTGCCATGGAATGGCCTGCTCTACGGCTGGTTTCTACAAAGTCGAGTCCGGCATATCTACGTAAGGTAGCTTAAGATGGCATGACGGAATCAGCAACTCAAGGCCATCTCAGACAATGTTATTCATTCTCGAGCTGGTGTACTTGGTCGTGCCACTTGACATGAATTATTTCCAGCTTTACAGGGCCAAGTAATACAAGGGCTCATTTGTATACAGTGCAAGAGAATGATGGAGAATATACCTTTGCAATGAAATGCAACTAGCCTGAAGTTTCTTGCTCACCACATTACATGTTCATGACAACCTAGTATTAGGACCATTATCGTGTAGCTTATGCCTTGAAGCCTTAGGCCTAGAATGTGTACAATTCATGGAAAAGATTCTGCCATCTATTTCCTAACCCTTGGAGCCCGGAAGGTAGATGGCCAAGGGTTCATAAGTTCCCCCACGAAGTCGGTTTTATATGTACTGCGGCTCACATAGCCATCCCCCCTGTTGAGCTTGTCTTTGTTTGCTCCGATGGGTGTCATGCAGATCGAAGGATTGTGCTACCCGAACAAGGGCTGTTAAGCTCCGTATTCTCACTGCCGAGGATGAACATATGTCTCCGGTTCCATCGAAAAAAAGGTCCTAAGGGGAAACAATAACTACCGGATGAAGAAAGAATTTGACATGTCTCACTTTGAAAAAATGTGAAAGAAAAAACGACAAAAGATCCTGCAGGGAACAGCAGAGTCACATTTTAGCCACGGCAGAAGTAGAGCAACAGAACCCACTCCTCAGAAAAGTATTTTACAGTCCTGTAGTGGAGGGAATTTCAATAAGAGTATCATATAGTTTGCTGAACCAGTTTCATTCTCGGGCAGTTGATTTTGTGGATGATGTTTATCGGGCGCTTACACAATCGACACTGTATTTAGAAGCATTTTCAGCGCAGGCTCATACAGTGTTCGGAGACAACTTAACTGTGTGTTGGTCCTGTTGGTAGTGTTGCTCACATTTGGTCGAATTTCGCCGAGCTAAAGCAATGTACCCTCTACCTGAATCAAGGTATAAGATACATACCGCCATTGCTTGGCGGGGCAAATTGCATGGTACAAATGCCAAGCTGTTTTATTACCAACCTCAGCGCGTCAAATCAAAGATAAGGTAAGACAAAGACCCTCGCATAAGATTAGTTTCCCTCAGGTATCTCTACCTCTCCCTTACCTCACCAAAGAAAGAGGAGAGAGACAATTCTCTTTGCAACATCTCGACACCCTCTTTCACTGTTCCTTTCGACGCTCAACGCGGTACGGGCCCATATTTCTACCATGCTCATCCGCAGTCGAGGTCTCGTTTTAGTTTGCGGCCTGTTGACAGTGTTCCTCTTCTGCTATTGGGCTGGTAGGACCCCTGAATACGTTGGACCCCGATATGGACACGGCCCTTACAACCACAACCAGAAGCACGGCTGGCCCGTAAAGACTTCGCTGTGGAGGCAAGACCGGGATGACAACTATTACTGGAACACTGTCAAAGTCAATTATCCTCACTCCGCCTTCCAACCGCTGCCCACTTCTCCTCCTGTCACCTATCCCAAGGTCCAAGCCACGTTCCCTGAATTCTCCATTAGTACTGCTGAACTGCGACGCGAGCGTCAACAAGCTGTCAAGGCGACCTTCACAAGATGTTGGAATTCTTACAGAGAACATGCCTGGATGGCAGACGAGCTCAGTCCCGTCTCGGCTGGCCAGGCAAATCCATTCGGCGGCTGGGCTGCTACCCTTGTTGACTCCCTCGATACCCTTTGGATCATGGATATGCATCAAGAGTTCTACGAAGCCGTGGATGCAGTCGACAAGATTGACTTCACAGCCACAGATCTCAAAGAAGTCAATATATTTGAGACTACTATCCGTTATCTCGGTGGCTTTCTCGCTGCCTTTGAGCTTAGTGAGGATATGCGTTTGCTTCGTAAGGCAGCCCAGGTTGGTGAAATGATTTACAAGGCTTTCGACACACCCAACCACATGCCTGTCTTGCGTTGGAATTTTCACGCTGCCGGGGAGGGCAAGAATCAGATTGCCGGTGCCGGTGTCCTTGTTGCAGAGATCGGAAGCTTGTGTATCGAGCTTACACGCCTCTCGCAACTCACGGGAGATCCCAAGTGGTTTGACGCCTCACAAACTATCATGGATCTCCTGGCGGCACAGCAAGATTCGACTATGCTCCCTGGACAGTGGCCTCTCATTGTGGATGCAAAGAGCCAGATCTTTAACCAAGGATCCGTTTTCACTCTCGGTGCAATGGCTGACAGCGTGTACGAATACTTGCCCAAGATGGCTGCACTAACAGGTGGGCAACTGCCTGTTTATCAGACCATGTATGAAAAGGCCGCGGATGCAGCATTGGAACACAATTTGTTTCGACCGATGACGCCTGAGAACAAGGATATTCTCATATCGGGGCAAATTCATGCCAAAGACAAAGGTGGAAAGATACAGTTGGAACTTGAGAGCCAAGGACAGCATCTAGTCTGTTTCCTCGGAGGCATGCTGGCATTAGGCGGGCGACTCTTCAACCGCCAGCAGGACGTCGACGCTGCAGCCAAACTTACCAATGGCTGCATCTACACCTATGAAGCATTTCCTCATGGCATCATGCCCGAGACCTTCTACATGGTTCCCTGTGACTCCAAGGAGCATTGCCCATGGGACGAAAAGCTGTGGAAACAAGGCGTCCTCAAGCAGGCAAAGATCAAAGAGGGCGAGACAGCACAGGCGGATGCCATTATCAAAGACGAGCATCTTCCCGGTGGGTTTACTCATATTCCTGATCGCCGATATATCCTGCGCCCAGAGGCCATTGAGAGTGTTTTCATGATGTACCGTGTCACCGGCGAGAACGAGTATACCGAGCACGCCTGGACCATGTTCAAATCGATTGAAGAAGTGACCAAGACAGAGCTGGCCAATACAGCTGTATGGGATGTTACTGTTACAGAGGAGAAACCCCGCGCTGTGGACTCAATGGAGTCCTTCTGGATGGGTGAAACTCTCAAGTACTTCTATCTCATTTTTAGTGACCCGGAGCTGATCAGTCTGGATGAATACGTATTTAATACTGAGGCGCACCCACTGAGACGGCTGGTGGCATGAAGTTTCTGTTGAGGATGGATGTCAAGATAGATACACAACACATAAATGAGTATGAAAAACAGACGAATGATTCATTGAGTAAAGAAGCGACAGGACATCTTTGTGTTTCTAAGCATGGAGGAAATAGTGAATATAAGGCCGGGTGAATGATGCATGTTGCGTGGCACTCCTGATATCTCGGTGCGGTTTGCATTTGACGCCAGAGCTCACCAAGGATGTTGCTGGAGTGAAGGAGACATCTCCACAGGTGCAAGAATTCTTAGGCCAGCTTCACTTAGGTCGTAGGTAAAGCTTAAAATTAGGTAGCATGTATTTCATGTCACAATTATTCCAATCCACTTCCACCCCGAGGTCTACTTACCTACGAGTTTGATATCATCTGAGATGTTACAATAATAGAGAGCTGGGTCGCAGTGAGGTACCTAGGTTACATTCATTCTCAATCACCTCAGCCCTGTGAGCGGAGTCTCTCAGTGGGCTGGAGAGCCCAGTGGCCGCTAAGATTTGGAGTGCTGAGTCAGCCTAGCCAGCAGTTGATGAAACAGAAATCTCCCAGAGGCTACCAACTCTCCCCACTGCACATCACATCACAAAGCCGCACAACACCCCGACCTGGCACAAGACCCTCTTCGGTATTTTGCATCCGTGTGACGCAGTAAATTAATTGATATTGATTTGTCTCTTGCTTTTTCTGATACTTCGTCAGAAGCGTCTTCGCTTCGCGTTGCAGTTGATATCAATTCTTTCATCGTTTAAGAGTCTCCCCAAGCTAGGCGCATCGCATCGCCGTGGCTAAGTGCTGAATTTACATCAAGCGCATTTCTCAAGCACCTCAGCAACAACATCCGCACTACAATATCTATTCCTCAATAGGCCCTTTTCAGGACTCTTCTGAAGAACAGGTTTGCGCTGCTGATCGCGAGCTGCACCTTGCGTTCGCCAAAGCCAAGGTCATCCGTGTATAGAGAACTGCCATCGGTGGACATCTGCCTGACGACGCCATCTCAGCGACTCATCAACCGAGGATCCAACTCTTCATTCTCAATATCCTAATCAAACCCGCCGACCGGAATACAATCACAACATCATCATGTCGAACCCGGCCGTCGGAAACGTCTACCAAGCCATCATTGACGAGGTTGTCAATAGTTCGCGAGTTGATTTCGAGGAGAGCGGCGTTGAAGAATCAGTGCTAGAAGAGCTGCGACAGGTAAGAGATACACTTTTCGTCGAGTTTCATGTTTTGTCTGCCATTCTCGTTGATTCTCAGGAATCACCAAGGAATGGGCGGGAGAAGCCTGTGTCATCAACAAAGACGAGTGTCGATATATTTCAACTCCGCACATTATCATATTCCACGAATATCGCGAGACCAAAGACGGCAGGTTCTTTTAGTTAGCAGCACTCTCTTCCGAGTTGGCCTCTGGAGCTGAAGATCGACTCATGGTCGAAGCGGAGCGCATCGCAGGCGGCATGGCGAAGGGGGCAGAGGGAGTTGGCGGGTTACGGGGAGGGGGAGGGGGCGACACAGCACTATTTGGGTCTTTTAAGCCCATAGCCCCTGCTGCGACTGCCACTTACCTTGTGACTCCTTCCGCCGACACCCGCCGCTTACTGATTGGCTCGCTCGAACTATACTCTCCCCCTCCATCATCTCATATCCACTTGTACACGCCAAATCATCCTATCACCACCACAGCACACCTGTCTTACACTTGCACTGCCGCCTTTTGCACACTCACCAATTTGGCTGCCTATTCTCTTCCATTTTGCTTATCAAATCCAAACTTACTGTGTTTTGCATATCTCGTCTCAAACTGAGCCTGTTCTTCCACTGCTTCACCAGTGAGCTGAGACATGCGGCTTAAGCACACAGGCGGTTGATGAACTCGTACCATGATTAACCCGATTTTGATTCTTTTGTTCGATGGATACTTGATGCAGAAAATGGCTAACATGGCTTCAAAATCAGGGATGGCAGCAAAAGCTCACCCAGCTTCATGTCGCTCAGTTTCCTTGGGACCCCAAGCCCGACCCCCCCGCACAAGCTCCGCCGCCTGCTGTTCCACCAGCTCAAACTCATGCTCAGGCTCAATTCTCGCCTCAGCTAAGCAACCCAACTGGCCTTTCTTTACCGGGAATGGCCCAACCCCAGGTGCAGAATGGTATCAAGCCTGAAGGCAACAACATCAAGACCGAGCCTCACGTACCTATCAAGCAAGAGCCCGGCTTGCAGGGTAACCCGATGGCCTACCAACAGTACAACAACAACACCAACATCAACATGAATGACAACAATGTAGCTGCCAATCGTGCTGCTCAGCAATTGCAGGCTCAGTATGGGCAGCGAGCAGCCAGCTCTATCAACGCCCTTCATCAGCAACAAGGCCACTCTCAACAGAACCAGCAACAGCAACAGCAACAACAACAACCAGCTCTGCCGCAGCCACATCAGCAGCAACAACCCGGTCTGACCCAGCAACAACACCAGCAGCAGCAGATGTATCGTCAGCAAATGGCCGCCGCAACTGCCCAACAGCAACAGCAACACCCGGCCAACGGCCAGCCCCACATTCAAAACGGTCAGACTGACGGCACTGGCGATCTGGAAGACTTTGAGGGTGTGCTAATGCAACGAGCTGCTGATGGCAATTTGCATGAACTCGGGCGAGTTGAGATTGACCGTATGCTGCATGAACAAATCCTTGCCAAGGCCAAGAGCATGGAGGGCGGCGGTCTGATGCTTCCTTTGAAAGAGGCAACTCGAACTTCGTCAGCCCCGACATCACGCGTGGTCAAGGGCAAACAACCTGCCACATACGATGGAGGTGATGATGACGACGAAGATGATGAAGACGCCATCAACTCTGACCTTGATGACCCAGAAGAGGACCGAGACGACGATGATGTTGATGATGAGGGGCTTGGCAATATCATGCTGTGCATGTATGACAAGGTTCAGCGTGTCAAGAATAAGTGGTGCGTTCCAGTGTCAACTCCAGCATGAGTTTGAGTAATTTTGTTTCATTTACTAACCGCAACTATAGGAAGTGCACTCTTAAGGATGGAGTTTTGACCGTCAACGGCAAGGAGTATGTCTTCCACAAGGCTACTGGCGAATATGAGTGGTGAACTCAGACAGACCGACTCGCTTGGAAAGCGACGTGGCTTTGGACCTTGCGACCAGATCGGCGGCGTGGTGTTGGGAAACAACATCAAAACAAAGCCAATGGAGGACTAAGCTATTGGGTTGATTGCAGCAGCAAGGATTTATGAAGACGGTCACGGGTCATGTGTTTATGCGGTGAAGAAAACTCGAGGTTGCAGATGCCGCAGCGCGGCCAACAGACTGGACCGTATCAGGTTATCTTACGGCAGCTTCTGTTTACGATTGGGGCCAATGATCCCTGCTTCCAAGTCAATAAGCCAAGTGGTATAGAAATAATAACATGGGTAGCTTATGGAATTCGTGTTGTGTGCACTTGATGAAAGCAGCTTAATTGCTTGTCCTCAACCGTGCCTGCAGAAGTTGAAGCTGAGTGAGTCAATATAATCATCAGATGATACAAGATGTCAGCATAATAAGCTTGGCAAGAGAACGACAGCACAAGCTTCCGCCGTCATCGGCTCAACAAAACGGGTATTTCGAACCGGGCAAAGTAAAAGGTCGAGGTGGAAGGATTCATGTATGTTGGTAGTCAACCTCAGCACTTCCAAAACAAGCCGTGTTTTGCTTAGACGTACATGGAGCGAGTATTGTACAAAACAGCCATGTCAAGTGGGTCACGCCTAACCTATGTAGGGCTAGGCTTATGCTGTTGGTCCGTAGCGGTGGGATTGTGCTAAGAGGGCGGGTGGGCAGTGAGGGTGAGAGGTAGGCAAGGCAAGTGAGGTGAGGTGAGAGGGCGGACTCAGTCTAGGGTCGGCTCCGGGGCTGGGACCACAGACAATCTGCAGCTACGAGCCGGCGTGTGGTGGCAGCTTTTAATGGGTGTTGAGGGGGTGCTATGTTGTTGGTTCGGGTTGTCCAATAGGGTTGTATGTTGAAACCTAGCGGGATATCTTTCGTCTGTTCGGCGTCTTCTTGCGTCGGTGTTGAACGAAGGATCGTCTGGTCGGTGCAGACGAGTCTTAGCTCAATAGTATTATGATATAGACTCACAGGCTAGGGGAGGAAAGGAGACACAGGACCTCGATCCTAAATGACAAAAAGACTTGGGGTAATATAGCCTAAGTTTAGGATGACTTTTGCTAAGTTTATTTTTACACCCTACAGTAAGGTTCACTGTTTTCTTGCTCCCCGAGGACAGGCAGCGGCTCATTGTTTTGTGTAGCCTTTGGGGGTGTTCTGGCGGCATGTTTAGAGGCACACTAATATGCCTATTGGTGTGGCATTGAAACTCATATCTGGAGTGATTGCGATTGACATACGGACTATGGGTCCCTATTTACCTCATGAAAAAAACGTCTATATATATATGGGCGAAAGGTTTAGGACGTCGTGGTGTGCCAATATGCTTGGGCTTGACTACCAGCCTACAGTAGTAGAAATGCCTTCAGTCACAAAGAACGGAGTAGGCACGGACACAAGTCTCACAACTCCAACCAATTTCACAGACCCCACACACTGTCCCGACAGTTTGGAACTGGTCGGGTCTTTACACCAAAACGGCATAGGCAACAGGGATTGCTGGGGGCCTCAATTACCGGGGTGTAAATTAGGTACATGTGCGGTACCGTCATAGCGGAGTTGGGAGTCTCAGCCCAGCCCGAGTGACAGACTCGCTTCTTGTATTACACTTGTCTCGCATGAATTAACATGGCAATCGAATTTCGGTATCATCAAGCTTTTCGCTTCCTTCAATTGGTGGCCGGTAATGACTTACCAAAAATGCTGACGCTGCTACCTAACAGTCCAACCATGACCAGAAATCAGCGACGTTATCGTACATACATACATAGGTGGTCAAGCATGTGCAAGGTAAACTACTGATGAACCCTGCTAGAGAGCTGCAGCCCCAGCCATTCCATCTTGTGAGATTGGTACTTTCTTGATTCTGGGACACCCTCAGGAGACGGAAACTCCAATTTGATCTTGTGTTTATGCTGAGACATAGATGTTGTGCAGCTGAAGGTAAGATTGGTTTGATAATGTGTTTATATCGACGATCCCGAAAGAACGACGTGAAATACGCATCGTTGTCAGTAACTGTTCTCTTGACTACCTAGAACAATTGGCGTTTACTATCTCATTACAATAGCCATACGTGGGCCAATGTATAGGTACTGTACGTGTAGGTATAGAGGGATCCGACAGGATGGTACAGCCTAGTCTACTGTGGGTTCGTTCGATGGAGGTGTGTCGGTTAAGTTTTGTCTCGTATCAAACTCTCTCGTTGCCAGGGTCTAGCACCTATTAACCAAACTCACAGATACCTCTGGATATCTCCACTCGTTCGTCCACTTCCCTGGACCTCTCCGACTACTGAAGCGGTGAGGAGCGGGAAGTATGAAATAGCCCATTTGCGTTGATGACCTAGGCCGGGTCAAGCCCAAAGTCGACTTGTCGCAAGTCCCAGTAGATGTATTTGCTGACTTGGTTCGAGTCTAAAGCTGGGCAGTAACATTACCGCGCGAATCGCGCCAGTAGTCATGGCACGTGTGGTATGAATATCTGGGGCTGGCACAACAGATCATGGTGCGCCGCCCCCATTGAAGTGATTAGTGCAAGCTTTGCAGTAGTCATCTTGATGATACGTGATTAGCAGCCATACTGATATGTAGCTAACTATAGGGCAACGAGCGGTTCGTTTCCCGGAATTGCCTCGGTTAAGATGCAGTCTCTCAGTGAGCTGATGAGCTGAGAGTGGATTCCTCACAATCAACAGAGTGGTAATAAGACGACGGCGGTGATTCTTGACTATATCTTGGAGAGTTCAGAATCGAGTACAAACCTCATCTCTTGCTGCTATACCATGCTCTGAAGCCCGTTGTAGCATGCCATACAGCATTGAAATGACGATGAAGAAGTACGGTGCAATAGACTTAAAAGCCCACTGCTAGATCTGGCTTTTGTTGCGGGCTCTGGGATCTGCATCGAAGGTATCTCGGACCCAATCCTTTGGTAATTTGGGTTAGCGCGGAGGGTTGCAAGGTTCAGGGATATGTAACTCAACAACCCTCATCTTGCTCCCTTGGACCTTGGACCTTGCATGATGGAGTACATCACGAGAGAACCGTCATTATCTCTGATTGGTGCTATCCGAAGAAACATTGTGAGGCAGTCTGCCAGTCGGGAACAAACCTGACCAGACATTAGTCGATTTCGGGGAATGCACTCATCAATTGGCCGAAGCTACCTGCTGCATTGATGGTTGAGGGAACCGTGTTTGATAAGATGCCCAGAATAGTTGCACCGAGATGTGTCTGCCCCAAAGAAGCGAATGTCTTGGGGGTTCTCCCACTAGACATTGATCGATATGTACTTTTTGGGGAAACTGTTTTCTCAGCATCTTATAAGAAGACAAGAAGACAGAGTAAGACTGCAAGTGCCCTTATCCACTTGAGTTAGTCCAACACCTGAACCGATGAAATATGGTGACAAAGAAGTTGTTTTCTTGGCAAGGCTGTGCATGCTATATGTCACGCCTCGACCGATCACATGGTATGAACATGATAAGCGCAGACTATTTTTTCGTATAATGACACTGATTTGGGTGATTGATCATATGTTGGTATGCAATAGTCCAAGCTGCGGTGACCCGACTCGCTGAACTGGAGATCTTCATGTCAGCTTCACAATAATACGTTACCAAGAAGAGATAAGCGGTAAAATTCTGCGTCCATGATCAAGGCTTGAGGAACTGATATGGCTATCGAAATGCCGGGTCAACCAGGACCTTCCAGATTTCCTGTGTTGGATGATGAAGCATTGGCCCTGCACGCTGCTTGCTTAGCGCGATGCACCAATATCAGAGCAATCTTGGTATATAGGGCCTTCAGCCCAGTCCAGCTAATATGTTGAGGATAACGAGTCTGATCTGAGACTTCCTGAAAAATAGGTCTACGGGGAGACAGCAATCGGGTTGAGCATACAAGCTTAGACATGAATTCGTATGTAAATATGGCGGACGACCCATCCATTTCTGAGAGACATTGGATCAGATGGTGAGTATCAGATTGGTGGGGAAGAGAACTAATTGGATCATCGGTATCCACCGAAGTAAATGGCACGCATTTATATACCCGATCAGGAGCTTCATCGAAGCAAGCAATTCATCGGTGAGAAGCGAGCAACAAGATGATGGAGAAAGGAGACCGAAATGGGACGAAACAAAAACCAAGGGCGGGCCTTGGAGCCAAACAGCACCTGAGTTCAGCGCCAATGTTCCAAGACGGAGCCTTGGACGGCAGGGGTTCTGTGCACTAGTTTCCGTAGCATCTCCCTAGCGTAAGCAACATCCCCTGACAGTTTTGGCGCATTTCAGTGGTACGGTGCTTGATTCAGGGCTTGAGCCTCGACAGTCTGTGATGTCGTAGGGAGAAGCGGGCGGGCACTAGGGAACTCGCCCACGACATCGGGTTGGTGTGTTTGACCATGACAAGGTTGTCGTCAGCGAGAAGAGAACTGGGACAGGTTTTTCTTTTTTCTTTTTTTTCAACAGAGTATCCGTACAATACCTCTGAATGATAGGTTCGTTGATATAGGCAGTTAGCATCATCACCTGATGACTGGCGCACCACCTTTGATAATGGAGAGCTTCTTTCCTCCCTACCAGGCATGGTTCGACGCACAAACAGCCTACAATTCAACTGAGACTGGGTTGTCACACTGCTCTCGGGAACCTATTTTTGTTTTCTTGTTTTCAAAACTTCCTCTCTGTAGTATCCAAGTCGACACGGCGTTCCGAGTAACAGTTCATCTCAAATGAATTTCTGTGCTGTTTCAGATGCATGGTCCAATGAGATGTTAGTCCGGACAATGCCCGGGGAAAAAGGTCATGGGCCAATAATCTTACATCCAATGTTGGTAGACGATGAGCCAGCCGTCTCGATTCAAAACCCAACATGAACGAAGCCGTGAATGTTTGTTGCAGAAAAGAAACCGCCTGGTATTGTTAAAGATCGCTCGGGAAAAGCGACGCGCATCCCACAAAATCCATTTGACGCCCGATAGAAAATGTCTCGAACCAGCATCAAATCTAGAATCATCACATCGATTACAACAACCGAGTCAATCCTGGCATTTTTGTCTTCACCAAGTCTCCTCATCTAGTCCCATGTTCCCTGTTGGCTCGATGGATGCTAAAGTGATTAGAGACATGACCGTCGTCGGCTAGGGGCATTGGTATCCTCCCCCGAAACACAACCAACAGCGGGACGAACCCCTCATCCTCCACAGTGACAGCGATCAGTGGCTGATCGGGGGCGCGGTTAGAGGGAGGGACGGAACCAACACGAACAAGAGAAGAAAAGAACCTAAACGGCACCCGTCGTCCGTCGTCCACCGCCCGAGGCCAATGGGCGGTTGCGGCTTCAGCGCCGTCAACCGGTGACAGCCATATCTATCATTGCACTCAACGGCATCAATCAATCATGTACAAGGGAAAGCCATCATGGCTGAATGTTTCGCACGTTGAGATCCAGCACTCCTCCTCTCCCTGCTATTCCAAAGATGGCCAAACGGCCATCGGTGCAACCTCATCACATACCGTAAGACTGGAAAGAGAAAGGACCCCAAGGATGGATGTGATATCGTGCGTTGCAGAATAACAAGACCTCCTCGGGAGACCATTTGGGCCATGGAAACCAACGTCACAGGCCGCCTGGGGAGGCCAGCCAAGGGAATGTGAGGCATAAGCTATTACAATTTTGATGGACTGGATAAGGTACGCGATGAAGGAGTTCGCTGCAGGTGCTGCAGAGCGTCCAAAGCCAAAGGCTGTCAGTCAGAGACAGCGAGTGAGCGCATGTATGTACTGTAGGTGCAGTATGGACGGGTAGGTAAGGCAGGTTAAGTTCCTTGCATAAAACACAACAAGTGGTTCTCACACGAATCCATCCATCAGCCCCGCTAGGTAGGTAGGTAGGTAGGTAGGTAGGTAGCATAGCCCAGCGATATCGAGGTTGGTTGCCCCTCTGAATGAGCTGTGTGTGGGTTTCATTAGGTTGTGATTAATGTTGATACGGAACGGTACTTTGGCGACGCTATTTGGCGACACCCTTGGCGCAAGCTTTTGGATATCCTCTTGACCACTTTCTGGTACTTAGTAGTGAAATTGGGGATCGGAATATGAATGGCAAGTTTACGATTCTGATCTATTTTCAGCTCGACCCATCTTAGTCCCGGGCTGGTCAAAAGTTGTAATAGTGCCGCTGGCTTCAGTGGCATTTGATAAGTTACTACTAGTAAGTATGGTAATCTGAAGTGGGCTGCCTGAGGTGTTCTCATGGCCACCAGAAAGATTCTCCAGGGATGGTAACACAAGGCTTCGACCGCTTTTCGAGGCGCATGATAATAATAATCACAATACAAATAACAAGCAGGACTCGACCAACAGCCGTCATCTCAACAGGGGGTGTAATGCAAAAATGAAGAGGGGCGAACCCTCGAGGGGCACACACCCACAGGTTCAAGGTCCAAGGTCCAAGGTCCAAGGTCCAAGGTCCCACGTCCACCTAAACTGCTAGGTAGGACCCATTGGATCCATCCATGCCCGTCTCTGTCTCTGCCTCTGCTTGTCTTTGCCTCTGTCTCTGTACCTGTGCCCGTACCTGTACCTCTAACGCTGTGCCTAGGGCTGCCTTGCCTCGCCTTGCCCTGTTAGCCTGTCTTGCCTTAAGCTACCTACGGTGCTGTAAGTTAGCTAGGTACCTTAGCTGTATCCATGTCCCACGCTCCAGCTCCACACTCTTGCTGGCGACAATAAGTATCAACAACCTTCCTCCTCATCTTTTCCGGCTTCTTTCTTGCCCATGACCTTTTTAATGCCCTTTGCGTTTGTTTACCTCCAGCTACGAGCCTCTATTATCTCAATTAACTACTCGGTGTTCATCTGGGCTCAGACTTTTCGGTCCACAAGTCTCGAAAAGAGGATCACGAGAGAACAAAAACCCCTCCTACAGTCTTCAAACTCAACTCAGTTGAGCCCTTCATCTCACAACCGCCTCCCATCTCCTTGCTTCGTGAGCCAACTTGGCCGTATTCTCGACACAGGCACTGAAATTGGAATGCATCCAGGAGGTCTTCTGTCCAGTTGCATTATATATATACACAACCTACGCCCAGCACAACATCTTCAAGTCCTGACACCGACGTTTCACCTCGGGTGAATTTGCGATTCGCGTAAATTTATCTTCTCAACCTCTTATTCGACACTCCATAACATTCCTGGCGTTTTCCTGGACGGCTTCTGGTCTCTCTAATACACGTGCTTCGGCCTCTGGACTCGCTCATATTCGGTAAGTTCATACTATAAACCCTCTGTGCGGGTTCATCCTGAGGCTTCTCAGACATCCTACTCTCTCTTCTCTTTTCAAGCCTTCTGCTCCCCCAGGACTCTCAGCCAACTCAAACATGGCCATAAACACCATTGGATGAAGCTTTCTCTGCTTTGATCCACAGGAGCTGCTATAAGCACAACTGCAATATTGTGCCCTCCCAGCCTTATCGCCGCTGAGGTTCTTTGGGCTGTGTTAGTGTGTATGCCCGGGCGATCCTCAAGTTTGGTTGAAACAACCCATCAAGTCCCAAGGTGCCCGAAGCATGTTGGGCTTGTCCTGACAACTCAAATATCGCATTCCCTTGAAAATATTTAGGTTCTCGTTCTGTCGGACCCGCATTGCTTCCCACGTTCATTCCTTCGACAATATTCGCTTTATTTTTTCTTTATACTTCACCTGGTGGATCTTGTCTTCTTCACTTTCGTGCGTCTGCTAACTCTCGCAGCGATATTCTCCACCAGAACTAGAAACTTGGCTCAGTCTGGTTTCAAAAACGCAGCTCGGATTACTTGTGTAATCTCCCACCGGCAAATCACGTCTTGCTGCAGCCTTGCCTTGTGGCCCTCGTCCAAGGCCCTGCGCTTCATTGGGACATTGGGACATTGCAGCCTCGACAGTTTTCATCCATGGTTGTAATGCCTCCTCAAAACAGGTATGCTATAGATCTCTTTGTCGGGCAGCCAATCTTACATATGCAATGCAGCGTGAACGAGTCGGAAGGGCGATACCTTCAAGATGGGTTCTGGCAACATGGCCGTTTCTATGGCTCTTGGAAACCTGGCAAATACTTATTTCCAATTGACTCAGTAAGTCGTCTGAAAATGACAATATCGTACGCCACCTGACCAGCAACAGGAAGAGTTGAATCGTTTGGATATATTTCATAAAGTCTTCCTTCTGGCACGAGACAACAAGCCATTTCTAGCTCCCATCAGACGCACCTCGCCCAGAATCATGGATATTGGTACGGGCACAGGTATTTGGGCAATCAATGTGGCTGAAGAGTATGAATGCCTGTGCCATTGATCTCGTTTATCACTACGTTACTGACCTAAAGAAGATGTCTCTCAGATGCTCAGATCATGGCCGTAGACCTGAATCAGATTCAACCAGCATTGTATGCTCGCTCACACTCGCTCTTTGTAGGCCATCGGCTAATGTAGATAGGATCCCCCCTGGCTTTATGCCAAAGCAGTATGACATTGAAGAACCGTCTTGGGGGCCCCTACTAGCGGACTGCGATTTGATTCATATGCGAATGCTACTTGGCAGTATTCAGACGGACTTGTGGCCTCAAGTCTACCACAATGCCTTTGAGTATGTTCGGAACTATATCTTTCAGCATCACACTGATACCTCACTAGGCACTTGACTCCAGGCATCGGCTTCCTGGAGCACATTGAGGTTGACTGGATACCCCGATGTGATGATGATGAACGCCCAGCAAATTCCGCATTCGTGAAGTGGGCAGAGCTTTTTCTCGACGGCATGGATCGATTCAACCGCAGTGTCAGAGTCATACCGCAGGAACATCGGCAAATGCTCGAAGCTACAGGTTTCACAGATGTCAAGCAGGAGGTGATCAAGGCCTATGTTTGCCCCTGGTCTGCTGATCGAAATGAACGTGAAATCGCTCGATGGTTCAACATCGGACTGTCTCATAGTCTGGAGGCCATGAGCTTAAAACCCCTAATCGAGAAACTCGGATTCGAGGCCGAGGATGTCCGTGAGCTATGTGAGAGAGCGAAGCGCGAAACGTGTGTTTTGCGCTATCACACTTATTGTAATATGTGAGTCTACAAACGCCTCCTACCGGCACACTTGATGGCCTACTAATGCTTTCGCAGTCATGTCTGGACGGCTAGGAAGCCCGGACCTCAACAGTAATACCAAATGCTCATTCAAGCGGGGGGTATTCACCGCATAACGCAAGGAATACGAACAGCCTTGGCAATACTGATGCGCATTGTTCGAAGCACATTACGCTGAGGAGCGTGGTGAAGCCATCGGTCCGTCGATTTGGGGAATGGCATGGTTTCCAATCCAAATCGGCCTGGTGAACTGGCAGGGTTTCAAGCGCCGGCGCCAGCGCTTTTGCGCGCAACTGCATCCTGACGACCCATAAATGGTACCACGATTTCCCAATGCTGCAGTACTCCTCGCTTGCCATATCCGGGGGCCCCTTGAATTTGAAGACACGCCTTACCTCAATGGCAGCATGGTACCGACGGTCACCAACAGGCAAGGATTCTCAATTGTATCACCAACAGCGGGCGGGGTCTTGATCACATCAACCAGTCCACCATCCTGAACAAGGCTGTCGATCTTTTCAAATTATCTGACCGCTAGATAACGGTCACCTGGCCACAATCATCTGCCAAGGGCCATATTATCTGCGCTCTCTTTCGCTGGCAAGGGTTCTGCTACCTGTTGTGGTAGAAGCGCTGGTAAGAACGACGCCGTTTTTGCCAAGGGCCAATATCGGACTCCATAGTATCCTAGGTCCGCGCGTGTCGGGACGGGCCTTCAGCATCGGCCAGGGTCCGGACTATACGAAATACTCAACCGCATCGCTCTGCGTTCGGTGAATATATTCCACATCTTATTTTCGCGCGCGGCTGTACTCCCACGTCTGTCCTCGTGGTCCGTCATTCTGTCGTCTATTAGACGCCTGATTCACTTCTTCTGTGTGGAGGAGGTAACATCGGAAGAAAGGGCTTATACACCCCATATCTGTCCTTATTTCCAGAAGCAGAAGGTGGTGGACAAGCCCAAGGTTCATCAAGCTATGACAAAGAAGTTGATATGGCAGATGAGGATTGAGCACGTCCTTCGCAAGACTTGCCCCAGTGAGCTAGTTTGCTCAGTTCAGGGATCGTGGGATCTCAACTCGCTCAGGAGGTTGAGGAAATCACATTTGCTGGTATCATCTGGCAAATCGATCTGGGAGCTTTGCAGAGCTCACTCATACTAGACCCAAACTCTCATACAGAAATGTGAATACGTTCAAAGTGCATTGTGCCACGCATTTGCCATTCCATGGATGTTTGTTTACCCTACATACATTCATATAGATAAAGTACGCTTAATGGACTTGAAAGTTGTGAGCTTGTATTTCGTGGGGTTGAGTAAGGCTGTGGAATAAGTTTCCTCATGCGAATCCCCCTTCAACCGCAACTTCCTTTTGCACAGGAAACAAGGTTCGTATTGAAAGACGTCTTCAGTCTTCAGCAGCATTGTTAGTATAGGGACCACATACTAAGAAGACCCTATACGAGGGCCCATCTGTAGTCATACTGACTCATTTCTCGACTTATACTATATTTCTAGGACTCACCAACTGTCATTGCTCCTAGTTAGGTATAAAGTCAAATGACAGTCATGTCTAAGGACAATTCCACAAATCAACTTCCTCTCTTAAAAAGAAAAAGAAAGCCTCGAGGCAAAGCAGTAGCAATGGTCCATTCCAGAAAATCCCGATCGTAGACAACTTGGGCCACCTAGGATAAACCACATCAAGAGTCTTAGTTGTGAGTCAGTAACATCAGACTGTGGCAGGCAGTCTTAGGCATTTGTTAACCCCTCCCAGGTGACTATACATCATGACAAGTCATGTGAGCTACCGAGACGATTGCAATTAAGGAGCATTTGATTCATCACAAGAAGGCTCATACAGTTATTAAATATCATTGTTGAAAGCTGTCCACGAAGGGGGCAGCCCGCCAGAGGCTGGTTGATGTACAGTTCTACAAAAGAAAAGTGCTCAGAGGACAAACATCACAGGTCCGGTGAGACCGGTATTCCCAAGTCTCCCAGTTTTCAACTCCCCCTCAAACAAACGGTCTCCAACCAGCCCTTTTCAGGCGTCCTCAGCCGGGGAGAACCAAGTCTAAAGCCCATTCATCCTTCTTTGTTATCACATCGTCCGGCACTCATCTATCATCACAACTCCTGCTCCTTACTACACGAGACATATTTAGTGGTGGGAAGAGGCCTCGCCACGGTAGCCAACAAGCTTGAATCGTCCAATAATCTCACCAACGGTGAAAAAGCCGAGGACCTCAGCTGCGACAACACCGCCAGCGGCGAGCTGAGCAGGACCGATATTCCGTACCTGCTGGATGGCGTTCTGAGAAGACTGGATGATGGTACGGTTCTGGATGGACTTGATGATGCTCTGGTATGTGTTTTGGAAGGTGGCCAGGTTGCTATGAGATATGAATTAGTTGATGCCCCGCCATACGTAGGACTCGTGTGAACTCACGGAGGGCTCATCTTCTGGTTGTGGAAAACGAACTTGCCCAGCTCGAGGGCGACCTTGGAGTAGTAAACGACGAATGGGACCTGTCCTGCATTATAATGTCAACAATCAATGGCCACCGGTTGTGAATTTTGCAATGATCCACGTACGTTCAATGAAGCCGAT